CAGTACTCCAGATGGGGCCTCACCAGGGCAGTGTAGAGGGGAAGGAGAACCTCCCTCGTCCTGCTGGCCACACTCCTCTTGATGCACCCCAGGATCCCATTGGCTTTCTTGGCAGCCAGGGCACACTGCTGGCTCATGGTCACCCTGTCGTCCCCCAGCACTCCCAGTCCCTCTCCGCAGAGCTGCTCCCCAGCAGGTCCACCCCAAGCCTGTACTGGTGCATGAGGTTGTTCCTCCCCAGGTGCAGGACCCTGCATTTGCCTTTGTTGAACCTCATCAGGTAATGGAAAACTTACTTCTGGTTCCTGGTCTCCCGGGAAGGGGAAAAATGCAAGCTGCTCACCCCGTACCGCTGCGCCCTGCGCAAGCCGGGAGCTTGGGGTTTCCAGCCCCGAAGGGTGCCTGCGGTTCCGGGGACGTTCGCATCTCCCCGTCAGCTCCTCGCAGGTGCATCTGCAGTTCGTCCCTTCTGAAACCGCCCTCGTTCATCACTCATTACATCTGTAATTACTATCCGGACTGGGATCATACAAATTAAATCAGTCAGAAAAACGTTGTAACTACAAACAGCAAAACTTCAGAGAGAGATTAACACGGAGGAGAAGATGGTTTTCACCAGAGCGGGGAGCGTTATCAGCTCCCACAATGCAGCCAAGACGCCGTCGAGGCTCTTCATCACCACTTGTGGGGCTTTTCGAAAAGTAACGAGAGCTCCTCTTTTGCACAGCACCCACCAGCCCACGTCCCCTGCAGCATCCTACTCGTTTTGCACGTGCTTTTATGATCTACTCCGCAACGCAAATAAGGAGATGAGGTGTCCGTCGGCCACGCGTACCTTCGTCTCTGTTTCCCCAAGAGCTAATCTCTAGTTAAACATTCTAGATAATCAAGAGTATTCTGTTAGTGTGTCGATACAGATAATTGCTTGGTGCTCAGAGGCACGGTCCTAGACAGGTTGATGGGCTATCTTTGTGCCCCGTACTTCCCACAGAAACGCTGTATTGACCCGGCGTAAGAAGCACAATTTTAATTACTACAAATGCTCAGATCTGGACAGCACAGTAACAATATTTGTCCTATAAAACTTAATCACACAATCACAGAATGGTTTGGGTTGGAAGGGACCTTGAAGCTCATCTGGTTCCAACCCCCCTGCCATGAGCAGGGACATCTCCCAACAGCCCAGGGTGCTCAGAGCTCCATCCAACCTGGCCTTGAGCACTGCCAGGGAGGGGGCAGCCACAGCTTCTCTGGGCAGCCTGGGCCAGGGCCTCACCACCCTCAGGGGGAAGAATTTTAAATTACTAAAAAGCTACCTGCAACGTTCCACTTGTCTTACAGACAGGCTGACCAAGAGTGACCCAGAATAACCACACCGAGGGTTTGATCAAATTCCATCTCACGCCCAGCCTCTGCCCCAGCCACGCAGAACCAAGGGCTGGATTCTCCTGCAGCACCAGCAGACGACAGTGAGCCCTGCTCGGGGTGCCACGGGGCGCAGGGCAAGCGGCAGCCCTCTCGCCCCAGCTGCACGTGTGGTAGGTGCTCAGCTGCCCAGCGAGCATCGCACGTCAGCTCTCATTCTGAGACAGAAACCAAACCAGAAGACACCCCCCAGAAAGCCTAGCTTTCCTTTACAGAATCACAGAATCACAGAATAGTAGGGGTTGGAAGGGACCTCTGTGGGTCATCTAGTCCAACCCCCCTGCTGAAGCAGGGTCACCTACAGCAGGCTGCACAGGATCTTGTCCAGGTGGGTCTTGAATATCTCCAGAGAAGGAGACTCCACAGCCTCCCTGGGCAGCCTGGGCCAGGGCTCCGTCACCCTCAGAGGGAAGAAGTTCTTCCTCATGTTCAGACGGAACTTCCTCTGCTTC